TAATTCTAGGCTCAATTATTGCTGCACGTTGAAAACTACCTGTGCCTAGTTTTAGATATCAGACTTTCAGAAAGATTCAAACTGGAACAAATCCAAAGAATGTCATGCGAGTGATCAAGGAACTGTAAATTAAATCTTACAAAAAGATATCACGGAAACTTGGAAAAGGATTACACTGATTTGGTTTACGATAGTGCTCTTCAAGTATCTGAAAGGATTCAGACTAAAAGCCTTATCTTTTGTCATCACAGAGTACTGGACACAGGATAATGGCATAAATGCAAATGTCAGTTGAATGCTATGAAAAACTTTCTAACAGTAAAACAATTTGACAATGGAATCAATTTCTTAGGATGACAGTGAGATGCCCTTTACCAGCTGCCTTCAAGCACAGGCTGGTGATAGATTTTCTGCTTGCAATGCTTTAATTTGTACTTCTGCACTAAATGGAGGGTTGACTTTGGAGACTTAATACTTTTGAAGTCTCTGATTGTGTGACTTCAGCACAAATTACATATGATGAAGTTAAGAGTAAAATGTAGCTTATAGAGCTACTGATACCATGCTTTTCTAATATATAATGTATAAAATTAAGAGATCTAACCCTAACTGAATCTAAGAAGCAGCTTGCATGAAAATAACTTCCGCAGATGCTAGTCTCCCTAATTATCTTTGATCACCACCTGCTGTCTCTTCTTCATTCAGCAGGGTCCCTGATCCTGTAGATTTTTTACAAGGTGCCTTTAGCTGCTGAAGAAAGCACTGAATGGGAAGGTCATCCTCTAGCAGCCCAATCCCCTGATTCAGGCGGATCTCTGGATGTAACACAAAGTGCTTAACAATTTACATCTGCTGTAGCCTTATAAAAAAATAATATATTCTAATCAAACAGATGCATGCATGCATATGCACGTTATAGTTGACTATGACTCAGCTGTGTCACTTTTACATGTAGACTCTGAGTAGTTAGTTAGAAAAAGAGCCTTAGGTTGTTGTATTGCCCCCATAGCTCATCTAATAACTATAATTAATACGGTTTTTGATGCTTTAACCTCCACACTTAGTATTTGGCCAGTTCTGCATCAGCATCTAAGTTTTTACAACACTATCAACTGTTTTCACTTCTTCTATAGCTGAATGCAATTAACTTCAAGTTCAGAAACAAAACAAAGAACCTTCTGCAAGATATATGGTTGAGGATTGACAGTAGATGGTTTCCACTGGTGTGAACTTCCATCTCAGTCCACATGCCAGTTTTCCTTCCTCTCCACCAAAGTCAAGGAAGCATTGTGCAAATTGCAGTATCGCACTGATCTTTTTGGCTAATCAGGAGTGGACTTGTTCAGTAACAGTTCATTTTTTGTTCTTATTGTGAAAACAAACATAAGGAGACAGGGCAGAAATGGGATGAGGTATATATTTCTTAGATATTGATATCTGCACTTTTTTCTTGGTTTTCTGTAGGTATGCAGATTGGATAAGAAACATTGAGCAACAGTATTCAGAAATTAAAAGATGACAGGAATTATTCTGAGCTAAATTGAATGTAAATGGTGTCTATGTAAAAGTATCTTTATCTGGGAATGGGCTTTTACTAGAAATGATCTTGCTAAACTAGTGAATTTGCTACGTTAATTCTCTTTCAAAAATTGTAATTTGATCTTTTTTTTTCCAAAATAGTTTTGTATTTTTAAAATAAGGAAATAATTGGGAAAGAAGCTGGAATAATATATTGGACATTAAGCAATTTCACAGGTTAGCCAGGAATTTAAACTAAGTGTGTAATTTAGGCTCAAGTCTTCTGTTCTTTTGTCATAATATGGGATCATCCTCATGGTCCTCCTACATGACATGAATATGACTCACTACCGTTTTTTCTCCCATGTCCTCAAAGTGTAGCTGAGGCAGGTTAGTTATCCTTATCTTGTTCCATGTTCAAAATAAGGTTTACTTTTTCTCCCCAAATATACATTCAGGCTACTTCACCAATGAAGTGTTTCCTGACATGGTCAGAAATTGGAATTTGTCTAGCTTCTCTTAGTTTAAGCTTAAGTTTAAACTATTACAGGGTCCCGTTTCTTTTGGTGACTGGGAATGGCCTTCCATGGCAGCTTTGGTTTGGGGCTGGTTTCTACAGAAGAATTATCCTATTTATTTCCTGACCAGAGCTTTTCATAGGACTTTTCATGTCTCTCACATATAAACATATGTTTAGCAATCATTTGAACAAGCTGTATTAACCTGTATTTAATTGATAGTCCAGCAAACAGGTTATTGGTACAGAGAAGGGGTATAAAGTGAATCAACTCTACTTAGGTTCCTACTTCATGCAAAAATTTTCTGAGCAACAATATTTGTCAACTGGGCACATGTATCTAAAACTCAGCAGTGAAATCCCCCAGGTTCTATACAGTTTGCCGAACTGGTAGTACCGACGGCAGGAGGCTCCGCCCACCCACCGGGATATCATTACGTCCTGTTTTTTAACCATCTGTGCACGTGAAAAAGTTTCTGCGCATGCACAGAAGAGGCACGCTCCCGTTCCTGAACCAGTAGCAAAGGTAAGTGGATTTCACCACTGCTAATACTCTTTCAAATGGTGAAAAAAAGTAAAGCTCTACATTTAGGGAAGAAAAGAAATGCACAGGTACAGTATACGTGGTTCCTTTCTCAATAATAGTAACTGTGAGAAGGATCTTGGAGTCCTAGTGGACAATCATTTAAATATGAGCCAGCAGTGTGCAGCAGCCAACACAGTTCTAGGCTGCATAAATAGAGGGATAGAATCAAGATCACATGAAATGTTAATACCACTTTATAATGCCTTGGTAAGTCCACATTGGAATATTGCATCCAGTTTTGGTCGCTTTGGTGTAAAAAAGATGTGGAGACTCTAGAAAGAGTGCAGAGAAGAGCAACAAAGATGATTAGGGCACCGGAGGCTAAACCATATAAAGAATGGTTGCAAGAACTGGGTATGTCTAGTTTGATATAAAGAAGGACTAGGGGTGACATGATAGCAGTGTTCCAATATCTCAGGGGCTGCCACAAAGAAGAGGGAGTCAAGCTATTCTCCAAAGCACCTGAGGGTAGGACAAGAAGCAGTGCATGGAAACTAATCAAGAAGAGAAGCAACTTAGAACTAAGGAGAACTTTCTTGACAGTTAGAACAATTAATCAGTAGAACAACTTGCCTCCAGAAGTTGTAAATGTTCCAACACTGGAAGTTTTAAAGAAAAGATTGGATAACCATTTGTCTGAAACGGTACAGGGTTTCTTGCCTAAACAGGAAATTGGACTAGAAGACCTTTAAGATTCGTTCCAACTTTTTTATTCTATTCTATTCTAAATAGTGCTAGAACTGTGTTTAGAAACATTCTGACAAGTTACAGCACTGAGCACCAATGCCAGCAACTTATTATACAGGCAGTTTAATAGGTAGCCAAACTTGCATTGTAAAAATCTTGCTATATTCTGTCCCAGCCCTTGATAGATAAAAGTTGAAAAAAAATCCACCAATAATTCTGTATGATACTTTGTGAGAAGAGAAACAAAAGCAAGACAATCCACCAATCCTATTAATCTCTTTTCTTAACTTCACTTGTAATTGATATGTATGGCTTTACTGTTGTTTCAGAATAGAGACTGACGGTGGATGGAATAAATTTTTGTCCACATTTCTTTTTTGCTGGTATGAGTTCTATGTTTAACATTTTAACAGAACATTCTGAAAAAGCCCCATTTTGTATTACTTGGGCAAATCAAATTTATATAGCTGTCTTTCTCTCAGATCTGACAAAGTGTAACCAACCATTGCAAGAAAAAGAACGTTTGCTGTTGTGATTGTTTTAAATTAGCTAACTAAACTAGCCAATTACCACATAAAAGGTGGTATAAGGTCATATGTCTCTCTGAGTTCTTAAATCCATAAGGTTTATATTTAAATAATTCTCCAAGGCCCAAAATAGTAATTTCTTTTTATGAAAATACAAATATATTATAAATTACAAGAAGCAAAAATGAGACTGAAAGATTCTAAATGCACAGACAATTCACAGACACAAATTTCTAAATTAGGGATTTAAAGTAATTTCTGAACAGATTTATCTAAGCCACGTTCAAACAAAGAAAAAGCTGTCTATTTTGGATAGCTAAAGAGGTTACGAGTTCCATATTTATACACTGCTCAAAAAAATAAAGGGAACACAAGCAGAAGACATCCGAGAGCTGAATGAATGAAATAGCCTTATGAAATACTTCGTTCGTTACATACAGTAGTTTTGTGTTCCCTTTAGTTGTTTGATCAGTGTATAAACTACTGTATGTAAAGAACAAAGTATTTCATAAGGCTATTTCATTCATTCAGATCTCGGATGTCTTCTGCTTGTGTTCCCTTTATTTTTTTGAGCAGTATATTTTCCTAATCTAGCATTTACTAGATAATTTATACCTTATTTCGGATAGACATTTATAAGCAGATTCCTTGAGAAACACTATCTTTTCTTTAAAGATTTTTTTTTTAAAAAAACTCCTAACTTAAATATCATCAAGGTACATATTTTGGGGTAGGTTTAACATGTACAGTGATATTCCCAGTTTGGGCTTTTCTTTAATAACTTTTTTCTCATTTTGAAAAGTTTTGCTTAAAAGTTAGCACAGAATGTATGACCATGAGTGCTCTTTATTTTATGGTTTTTACTTGCTCTGCGTTTAATTCATATGGTGTTCATCGATTTACAGGAGGGAATTTCACATTGCTTTCACTTAGATTCGCTTGAGGGTCTTTTTTTCAGATTTTTTTTTTTTGCTTCATTGGCTAAAAACTTTTTTTAAAAAGAGATTTTCCATATTTGGTTCACTAATACTCCCAATTGGACTTTGCAGGTGTTGTTTCCTCTGTCATAAGAGGTTTTCATTGATTGTCATCACTATAATACACAAAGTTCAACTTTCCTTTTTTAAAAAATTATATCTGATTTGGTGGAAATAAAAATACTCACAATTCACAGTGACTCGGACTTGCTTCACATCTGCTGTGGAAACCTCATTTGCAGCTTTGCACTCATATTTGCCTGACTGCTCTCGTGTTATTCCCAGGATCTCCAGGAACTCTTCTTCACCTTCAAATTCTCTGCCTGTGAAAAGAGAAAAAAAGCTGAACTTAATAGTCTTCAGTGTATAAAAAGAACTATAAAAGGAGATCAGTGAAAGCCAATCCAAAATGCAGAAACAAATTATGCTGTTTTGTAATTGTTTATTTCTGTAGCCTTTTTGATGTGTTGAACTTAATTAGTAGGTATTCTAATTTAAGAAAAAAAAGTTATCAGATAAAATCACCCAAACTTATTATCAGATCCTACTCTGTGCATTGAGATTTTTTTTCAGAGACAATTGGCCTTTCTACATGCTTACAAATACCCTTCAGATTTTAAATACTAACAAGCAACAAGATGATGATTCTGTATTACACAGAGAAACCAAATTATGTAGCATATCCCAATGCCAACTTGGCCCTGACCTCAGATCTAATGTAACAATGTTATTATTGCAGGACATAATAATGTCACCAACAGAATTAGTGGAAGATATACTTGCTTATCGTCCTATATGCTTATGGCATTAGTTGTCTGCAATGCCCCTAACATTGCAGTAGAATTTGTGTTAGTTTCTACTAAGGCTTGCTTGAGATTCTGACCTAAAGTTTTGGCTAAAATTGGCCTTAGGGAATGATATCTGGCCTCCTTAATTATTGAGAGCAATTCTACAACTTCTCCTAGAAGTTAGTAATGGATGGAAACTTCAAATGTCATGGCCTCTCTGCCCATTATTTAATTTTATCAGATTTTAAAAGAACCAATTTGGAACTAAAACAATATATTTTTGACCTTAAGAAGAAATGGAGAATTTTTCTCTCCTTATTATAAAAGTTGCTTGCTTAGAAGAACTTCATTCATGCTAAGCGTCTTACATATAAATTCTCCATTCTGAACATAAAGCCTTTTTTCTAGCTGGACAAAATGCTCTATCTTCCATAATGCTAGAAGGGAAATGCGAGAGAGGCAATATCTCCTTAAAAGATAATGTCTCTCCATGTCTATAGTGGCAACTGAATTAATTTCCCATGTCCTACCTGTCAGGTACAAAAGATCACACATGAAGGTCCAATTAAACTGATTTATTGTTAATAATGCTTATGCACAAGAATCTTCCCAAGTAGTGGTTAACACCTGCCTGGGATTAGATAAAGTCCAATGGAATTTAAGGGAGATTGGATTTAGTTGTTTATGACTACATAGGGATTCAAGGCTGATCCCTATTCTAACTATGCCCCCAGATTCTGCAACTTCTCCTACTCTATCCAAGCCTAAATCCTTGACTTATTCATGTCTCTCTTAGTTAACCATTTATGTAGTTCTGATAAAGAAAATACAATATTTCTACCTGAAAACGGTTAAACTGAAAAGTCAGGAGGAGCTGCTACAGTTTCATATAGCAGTTGATGTAATGGTTTTGGAATAGCTTTTTAAATAATCACCCTCATTGTTTGTTTGGAGCATTGGTCTCTGATCAGACATATATTTATTAATGATGTTTGTTTTAAAAGTATGTATACTACAGGCTACTGTATGGGGCATCAACTCTGCAGTCACTTGAGAAATTTGATAGCTGAATTCTTATAGGAAATAACCTAAACCATTTCTCTCAGAATACTAAGCAGATATGAACTTATCTCTCCATGGGATTTTATCCTTCTGTGAGTATTATGATGAGTTCTTGGTAATTTAATGTGCATTTAAATTACCTAATGAGCTCAGGAGTTCAAAAGGAGGACAAAAATAATCACTGAAGTTTGGAATAAGCTTGTGATACAAATTCAGAGGGATATCTAGCTTAATATGTAACATGAGATAGATAGAGGACTATCTATTATCTAAAACCACTTTCCTATTGTCAGTGGACAGTCACTGCAGTCCCCTCTGGAAATGTTACACTTGACATAAGATTGCTTTTATTTAATTATTCTGTTCTAAATAATAAAGGAATACACCTAGTAAGTGGTGCAGTTATATCAGGCCCTGGCGTATGCCTTATTTTTACACCTACTTTTGTGAAACAAAATACTCAGGTATTAGAGAAGTATTAAATATGCAACTTAATTGATGTTATGAGAAAACTCATATTGATCAATATAGACTATATGTTTGAAATATTTGTTCATCTTTAGACAACCTTGCCCTCCAATCTCTGGAAGATACAGTATGAGTAACTTAGAATAATAGAATAACAGAATAATAGAGTTGGAAGGGACCTTGGAGGTTTTCTAGTTCAATCCTATTGGACTATTCCAACTAGGAATGGATAAAACAGGAATGTCTTCAAAATTTCTATTTCATATCCTTTTACAGCACTGAAAATTGTCATCTTATGGGACCCCGTAAGCGTGCTTTCTCTCTTGCCATTATGATTTCTGTAACAGCTTCTTCTTGAGGTCTATAATAATTCTCTTCCAGTAAGTCCTGGGTTGTGGAATTTTGTGAACCCACTAGAATGCTAGGACTGTTTTAATTGTTGTATTCTCTGTATGACTATTATCTACTTCTATTTCATTTCTCTTCTAAAAGTAGTCTTGTTAATGATTATTCGTTTGGCAGTTGTTCAAAGTTATGACATTGCTGAATGAGGAAACTCATGGCTGCTCCTCAAGTTTTGGCCATTACAGCATCCCTGCAGTGATTGCAGTTTAGTTGCTTGGCAACCAGCTCACCATTACAACAGTCACAGAGTCCTGTGGTCATGTGATCACCATTTGTAACCTTCACTGCTGGCTTTCAACAAGTAAAGTTAATGGGTAGCTGGCAGGAGGTCGCAAATAACAATCACATGACATTGCTCTTAAAAACCACATGGGATTTGCTTAACCACCCCAACTGGAACTGCCAGAACTGCCATTGTAAGTTAGTGTGGTCACATGACATTGGGCATTATGCCCATGTTGCTTAGTGACAGTCCCAATTACCATCATTAACTGAGGTCAACCTGTAGTATGGTTTTAACTTTTCCTAGATACTGCCTTGAGCCATTTGAGCACCAGGCAGCCTTACAAATTCGGTTAAAAGTAAAAGTGAAGGTGAAGGTCTGTCTGCGGGTTTTACTCCACTAGTTGTGACTGACTTTAGGGGGCAGGCTCATCTCCATTTCTTAAGCTAAGAGCCAAGTTTTTCTGGAGATATTCTGCAATCATGTAGCCAGCATGACATCACACCACAGCACAGATTGTATGGCAAAGCATGGAATGGTGTTGCCTTCCTGAATGTTTACAAAGGTTAAAAGTCTATATCTAGACAGGTTGAGCCCCGACTGCAATGAGACGGGTGAGCTCCTGTTATTTGTCCTAGCTCCTGCCAACCTAGCAGTTTGAAAGCATGTAAATACAAATTCAGAGATATTTGCAATATAATCCCGACGATGTCTGTTACAGAATGATTTTCCATTAAATTTAATGCTTCATTCTTAGAGTTTTCAGATTCAATCCCTGCATTCTTATAATAAGACCAAAGAAATTTAGCTCAAATCCTGGGCAACTACTGCAAGTCACTGTTGATAGCACCAGTCAAGCCTTGAATAAAAGTATCCTTATCCATAACCATGAGTTCCAAAGCACGATACACATTTATTTTAAAAATCACTCTGGTGATAAAAAAATAATCATTATTACAATTATCATTACCATCTCAATACTACTGAGCATTTCAGTTTGCGTCTCTTTCAGAAATGCAATGCTATTTGCCGAAAACTGACAATGTGAATCTTGCTAGTCCAATTTAATCATCTAAGAATGTTCTAAGGCTAGCTTTGAGTAAAATGAAATGAATAGTAAGAAGAGAGTCTATTGGGAGGTATTAAATTGTCAGACTTAAACAATAAAAAATGAACACCAGGAGACTGGTTAGTTACTATCCATTTTATTACAATAAATGAAACTAGAGGAAGGTGGCCATTTGGGGTGATTTTAGGAAAAATCCTCTGGATTTTAAGTGTTTTTATAATTAAATGGGGATTATAACATGTTTATTGACATTTTTAACTGTGGTACCTTGAGATAGTTCCCTTTGGGTGGGTTTCAAATGATCTTTGTAGATCAGCTTAATATATTCCAAGTGATTAGACTTTCTATGCCACTTTTCTAAGGCAAATACATTTGACCTTTACCAAACTGACCTTTTCTCAGTGACATCATATAAATCTTGGTTATATACCACTTTCTTAGTGTTCTTTACCTTAGGGAATAATATGCCCTTCAGAGAATCCTTGGTTGTTAGTTATCACAGCCTCCCTTAGGTGATACCATGCCAGGCTATAGCCATACCACATCCCTCTTCTCATTAATTTCATGAGGCATCAGATTAATTCTAAAAAGCTTTTGACTAATAATCAATTCAGGCAACCTGCCATGCAGTCCTTTACTAAATTACTCCATAGTTACTGCAGTTGCTGGCAGGTTCTTTATCTTCCAACATAATGTAGGAAATATTATTTTCCTGGTCATTGTAAGATCTCATCTTCCATGGAGTTCTGTGATGATGATGATGAAATTTGACTTAAGCCAGCACTTTACGAAAACTCAGCATCAAATGTAGGCCAAATATTTTGATCCTGCTATGTTTGATGTTAGTGTATAACTCAATTTTTCTTGGAATCTATGGGGGAAAAAATTAAAGGTTCCACTGTATAGATGCAAGGACAAAAAGTTCAGTTTTTGAATAACTTTTCATATCTTATGGCTGTTTTTTTTATCTGCACCTTCTAAAATGGATAGCAGTAGAAGCATAAATAAATAAATAAATAAACAAATAAATAAATAATTTTATTTCTATACCGCCCTTCTCCCAAAGGACTCAGGGCGGTGTACAGCCTATTAAAAGCACAAAGACAGACATCAGTTAAAAATAAGTAAAATTATTAAATAATTTCGGCTCAGATTTAAAACCCCAAAAATTTAAAACACCCAATTTAAAATCATTACATTGATAGGCTGGCTTGGCGGAACAGCAGAGTCTTGAGGGCACAGCAAAATACACGGAGGTCGGAGATCTTACACATTTCCGGGGGCAGTTCATTCCACAGGGCAGGGGCT